ACTAAAATTGAGAAACATGACAAGTAGATAATGATAACTATGAAAATTTGTGCCCATCTTCTATTCAGAATGATAAGAGTATTGCTCTCCTATAAGTATCTTTAATACTCACTCCACAGTCTTTGTTTGATTCACCGCGCTTAAATGAGATTTTTTGAAAACTAATGCAGGATACAGCATGGGTCCCAACTCTAGATCTTCTAGCCCTTCTCGTCCTGCTTGCGACTTCACTATTATTGTTGGACGAAATTTTATTTTTGGTATTTGAAAACGTAAACCTAGTAAATTGCTAGATTTTTTTGTCAGTAGAATAATTATTTTGTTTTGAAGAAGTTTATGTTGATCGATTGACTATTATCTCATATCGTTATCAATACATCACATTAATCGTGATGGTATTTCTAATTAATCTGACTGTATAAGATTCAATTATGTATTCATATTGTCACTTGACGATTAATTCGGATCCAACTATTTGCTTCTAAAAATACTCAACATAAACACAGAACTACTACCTAAATGAGCAGATCATTGTGATAGTGGATGTTGCGACGGGTGAAGGTATGAGAAAAAGAGACCATCAAAGACCCGCACACGTATCCAAACCTATACTCATACTCTCACCAACATTACTTCTCACTCCCACATCCATCCACACACTGAGATTTCTGAGCCAAAATAAACCTTTTTTTTATTTATTCGTATCTGAACCTGTATTCAGAGCTGCAGTTTCGTATAGGTTTTTAGACCGTAAAACTCAAGATTCATACTTTACTGTATTAGAAAAAACCTCACAAGACATATGTGTCTCTATCCCTGTCACTTCATAAAGAAAATAGTTTCCTGAATTCATTAGTTGCGTACCGTTGTATTGCTGCTAGTACTTACTATGGCAGCAGAAAGCCAATTCTCCGCTCGTCTTTTCTTATTTTTATGCCTTTCAGTACATTATTTTTTGCAAGACAAAATATCACTGAAAAATAATATGACAAGTAACTTCTCAACCATTTGTTTTAGCTATCCGTGAAAAGACAAAAGATCTGATACGAAATGACATATGTGAAAATTCGACGAAGAAAAATTTTGCTTTGGTTTATATGTGGTTCTCTTACGATTCTTACGATTTATTGTTTGCATTTTTTACTGACAGCTTATTGTCTTCATAGATCTCATAATACGGCATCTTCAAATGAAGTCGCACTACATCAAAGAAAAGAAAAAATAAATAAAGCAACTTTGTCAAGAAGTTCGAATGTTAAGTCAACTTGGACTTGCACAGGTAATATGAATTATGAATCTGAATGGCATAAAAGAACTTGTGCATTCAAAAATATCTGTTATAATAAAAAAAAAAAAGTATTTCAGTTTTATCGTAAGCCAGGCAGTATTAAAACGCCAATTTTATTTGAACCTAAACTAGGTCATATATATGATTTTAATGTAAATAATCATGGCTTTGTTGGTCTTTTTGCGCGCGCTTCTCCTCTTCAATCATGGGGACCAACAATTGTTGAAGAATGGTTACCGTCTGCTGATAAAGTACTGTATTTAGAACATGTCCATGTTTTATTTACGCATTGGTATATTAAATTTAATCCTGGTCATACCATTTGGGAAGACATAGCATCTACTTATTTTGCTATGGTTAGGTTAAATGAATATGATAGAAATGCTGTTCTTATTGAATATAGACATTTTCGAAAGAAAGAAGACGAAGTTTATCAAATGTTTCAAAACATAATTCCTGCTTTTGCTGCAAAAGTCGATAGTCTCGATAATTATATGAATAATTTTTCTTCTCCTCTTGTATGTTTTCGAACTATTGTAGCTGGTGGTGCTACAACGATGTTTTCTATTAGCAATGAAGCATATACAAATGGAAAAGAAAGAATTCTCTATGACTATCGTACTGCTATCCTACGATATCATGGTGTCAATGTATCTCATTTGCCGTCACGTCATCGTATTGTACTAGTTAATAAAACTCACACAACACATCGTAGCTTACGTGTAATTAAAAACCTTGTCGAAGTTAAACACTTTATATATTCGACATATCCAAAGATACAACTTGATGTTATTGACTGGAATAAATATACATTTACTCAAGAAATGCATGAATTATACAAGACAACTATATTAATCACACCATGTGGTGGTATCTCAACAATAATACCATTTTTACCTAAAGGAGCGCATGCAATCGTAATGGATTTCTATGTCAGTAAAGAAGCATATCGGGAGTCTGACAGATATAGAGTAGGAGAATCAGCTTCGATGGATGGGGGCTTTTGATATCGTTCATAAAAATCGTCCAGGCGTGAGGAAGTAGAAGAACTAGTGAAAAGAGAACAGTAATGAGGGGAATAGGAGTAACATTTGCAGTTTCGATGTCAATGCTGAAATACTAACACTGACGTCGCTGGCATTCAAGTCTTCTGAAAAACTGAATATATTCTCACTTACGATTACCTTAGCAGCGAAGAAATGACACCTATCATCACTGAAGAAAATCGACTCACTGATATTCGTCGACATTGAGATACAGACTAAAGAATATTTCATAAATAACAATCCCATTTTTATTATTTTTTTATTTTTGCTATGTTTAAGGGTAGAGACATATTGGAGAAATATGTGTCAGGCAAAATTAAATATGACTATTAATAGATTTTGAAATTAAAAACAATCGAAGAAAACAAGAATAAATAATTGATCTTATATATTTCAATCAATTTATGTTAAAATTTTATTGAAATCTAAAAATAATTTCAGATGATGTAGAGTATACGCCACTGTTTT